AAAATATAAATAAATAACTTAATGTCTACACTAGAGAAGAATTACATTATAACATAGATTGTCAGAGAACTGTGTGCTCTCCCTGAAACTCGGTTATTTTAACTATACTCGGCGCGTGATCAATCGGATACGGCATACGTTTTAATTGTGTAATATAAAAGAGAAACGATTCGGAAACGTATGTGTTGATCTTTCAATCGAACGRCCAAACAATAAAATAAAATTTATTGGTCAAGATGAGATAGAATCTTCTTAAATCTTAATTATCAAATACTCTCGTACTGTATTATATTATATTATAAAGAATAGAAAACTTTACCCCGGATAGACATTTGAACAAAGTAAATCAAAAAACCAAATTGTGTTCATTATTTCTCGAGATAATAATAACACCGCAAAGTAACAAAAGTATTTATCATAGTATATTATATTATTTTAAAACCTAAAATGTACGACTAAAAATACAGCTCTTATAGGTGAATCATCTTCGTATTAAATAATATACACACCATCACGCAACTAACATTCATAATTCATATCAAAGCGCACAATAAAATTGAAGTAATACAGTCGTTTATATCTTAGGTTATGATGCAGTTGTTCAAATAGATTATCATATCAATATATATAATTATCATATATTATATACACGTTATGTATACAAAAAGGGATGTCAATTTGTTTGATTGTAATTGTTTATATTATGAAACTGTATCTAAAGTTTAAATTATAATCATATATAATATTAACTAATGGTAAATTAAGAAAAATAATAAATAATGATTTACCAAAAATCGTTAGGATAAGAAAAAATACAACTACAAAATGGTCAATGGATATACAACACAATCGTAAYGACAGGTCAAACATTAACCATTCATCGGACATCAGTCATGTTTTGCTTGGATCCAAAGATTTTCACCAGTTGATTTTCGTAGTCCTCGATGTTCCGTTGCATTATGTTCATGCACGGACCCAGCAAACGTTCAAATGCGTCAACGTCCAAAACTAAAAAAATTAAAATTAAAAATGTAAAATAAAATAATTATCAATTTTGATAATAATATACAACATTTTATTTGTCTAAAATAATTATTGAGTTCTCTTATCGGACTATTCATGGCACAAATGTTTCTGTCAGATTATTTTTCAGACATTGCCTTGTCACGACATTTACATTTTTATTGTGTTCGGCTAGGTAGGGGAAGAACCAACCCAAATTTTTAATTTGTTTTCATGGTAAAAGGGTTTACTTAAACAATCTGTTTTTATAGAAAACGAGAAAACAACCATCTCATTGAATAATGACTTCATATTTGTAGTATTGTTTCYAAACCCTATTACCTCAACATCTAATCTGAACAACAGTTAAACACTATTTTATCATTTTTTAACAATAACTAATACATTTAAAACAGTTCAAAATTAATCATAAATCAACAGTATACGATTATCTACAGATCCAATATATTACTTCCTTCTTGACATTAATTCAGTAATTCAATGTCAATTATTTAATAATAAATACTTAAGACATACAGCTTAATTAATTTATAACATAAAATTTAGATATTATTAACCTATATCTCATTCAGTGTATAATCACAACACATTGAACAAAGATTACTATACAATGTTCATAATATAATATCAGTACTTAAAAGTATTATATATTTATCCAATGATTAATACCATGCTCAAAAAAAAATTATATAAAAAAAAGCGGGTAAGTGGATGTCACTCTGCTGCACAATAGGTTACAAGTGGATTACTGTAAGGATGGTATTAAATTTWAATTCAATGTTRTAATATTATTGTATATGACAAACATTCTGAGCGGGGATGGTTTATCAGTCTAGGACAGGGGTGGCGAATATTTTTGGGTCAAGTACAAAATTTTTGAAATCAAGGATTTGACAATTTTTCACATGCCCAAATTTTGTAAACACTAAATAGATAGATCATGATAAATATAGTGATAATATAGTAACATAATCAATTTTAAATAAAGGAATATTATAATTTTTTTAATGTTTTATTTCTTTAAATTTTTTACATACAAAGTTTAATAATAATATAATTTTTCACAATTTAAGTTAATCGCGTACCATTAAAATTTAATAAAGTCTCACTTTTGGCACACTTGCTGTGGATTTTCCACCCCTGGTCTAGGATATTTTAAACTATATTAATTATATTGCTATTATTTWWAAAAAAAGAAGGTACCTAAAAAAAATTTAAAATTAATCAAATCAGATTCATTATGTACACAAGGTCTGGTACACGACTCACACAGTCATTCATAGCATATACAATTTATTATTAAGTATTTAAATAAGTCATCAATAACATTAACTATTACAATTTAAATTTAAATTATACTATAGAAATTTCAAGTATCCACAAATAATATTTTTGATTTACAAAAATATAGCTAAAATTATTATTCTTGGGTATTTAATATGTAATTTCATACAAATTTGAACTCAAAATAACTTTTAAAAACACTGTGTTTGTATAGTTTTTAGATTTTTTTTTTTTTTGCAGCAGAATTAACTACTTACGTGGAAACTTATTTTAAAATTTAAATGTTTTATAAATTTTTCACAACTATGGAATTTGTAAATTTTCAATTAAATAAATKTTGTCAACATTTAAACTGTATATGGTTATAAAAAATAAACATGCATGATATGTATTTTTAATATTTTCCAACTGCTATTATAATATAAACTCGAATTTGAATTTTAAATAACTATAAAAGTAAATGTTAGTATAGTTTTTAATTTTCTTTTTGTGACAGAATTGACTAGTGAAATCTTGTTTTGAATTTTCAAACTTTAACTATAAAAGTTTAACGTTTTATAAATTTTGTCGAGATTTTAACTTTATGCATTTATGAAAAAAAAATACCAATGTATTTTTAATAATTTCCAACTGCTATTATATAAACATATGAGAAACCTTGTATTCAAATGTTAAGCTTTTTAACCCAACAAAATATAATATCCACAGTAATTTGTTTCAGAATAACACCAATATCTAAAATCGATTTTGTGTAACAATTCATATTTGACCATAATTTTTTTTTTGGCACTTTTAAATACGACTGGGAATTTTAAATTTTAACCTCTCCAAATTCACCAACTTATTCACTTTCATACYGAATAAACTGATATTAAAAATTGAAGCATTTCTTTGACAACTTAATTGTGTACACACACAAAAATAAAAACACATATCATTATAGAATCATTACAATCATCACTTCGCTCAGAATCTAAGATTAAATAAAGAAACTACGATAAAAATTATTATTTTAATCATTTTACCCTCCAATATATTAAGTCATATTTCGTAAGCAAAATTTATAATACCAATAGGTAATGTATAAAATATGACTTAAGTTCCCTTCATAATTGAATCTGTTGAAATATAATAAAATACATACATGCTAGTTTGACTTTGCCTTCAGCAAACACTGATGCAGCACGACCTTTGTGAGTGACAAGAGCTAGTTCACCAAAATAACCACCTTTTTCTATTTGATTAACCTATTGAAAATAAATAAGTAAAATAAACAAACAACAGAAATAAAATTTATAATTTTAAATAGGGATGTGTTAAACGTATATTTTTCAGAAACTCAAACTTTACAATTCTCAAAATATATTAGCGGTTCAAATTTATGGCGTTTAAGAGTTTGAAAAGTTTCTACCAATAATTTTAAACAAACCTTAATTTGTTCACCAGTTTCACTAGTTACTAATACATTAACAATGCCTTCTTCTACAAAATACATGCCATCTCCTGGATCACCTTGATTTATAATGCAATCTTTGTCTTGATAGTATTTAGGGACTAGAGCATCAGCCAAATTCATGCGCTCATATGACTGAAAGTGAAACAAATAATATTTTAAATATTAAATATCAATAATATACAATCTCAGATTATTAATTGCTTTACTTGTAATGTTTTTAGCATAGGAACCACTTCAATGAGCTCTTCATACATCTTACGTTTTTTAAATGCACTTTTCAAAACAATACGTCTAAATATTTGCCGATCCATAGCCCACAGAAGGCCATCTGACTTGGCTTTAATAGTTGCTGCCCGGGGCATGTTATAGAGTAATGCAAGTTCTCCAAAACTACCTTTATGTTCATATGTATGCACCAAACGGTTATTGCCTTCTGCATCTGTGACATAAGCTTCAAATGTACCTCTAAAAATTGTATTATTTCAATTAATACTGTTCTTTTTTATTTCTTGACAGGAAACTTTTTATAAATATTAAATATTACCTATCGATAACATAAAAGTTATCACCATCATCACCCTGTTTAATAATATCTTCTCCAGCATGTACCTCACGATCAAACATTGCATCAATCACATTATTCATTTGCTCCTAAAATATAAAGTATTAATAATTTTAGAAAAAAAGCAAAATCACAACATTTATAATTAATAGTGTAGTGTGAAAATAAGAAAATAAAAATTAATTAATTAAATTTAATATTGATACAATAAACTTAAATTAAGAATATATTAAAAACTTAACTTGTATTATGTGTTTACTTTTTGTTTAAGAATCCTAAATAAATTACAGAATGTTTTATATAATACTTTTAAAAAATAAATAAATAAATAATCTATTCCATTGTTTAATCATATTAAAGGATTTTTAAATATGTCATGTCTTCTTTATAAATTAAAGCAACATAAAACATATTAGTATGCAGAAAATTTAAACAATAACTCTGGTAGATATGAAGTAATAAGTGTAGGCATTAAAAACATTATTGCAATTACAGAGTATCAAAAAAATGTTTCTTTAACACAGAAATTAATGTAGGTATTACTAAGATAATTTATTTTTAAGTTAAATTAATGACCTTATAGAGGCTTAAAAACATTAAACACAAAATGTGAGTTATATAAAAATTAAGATTATTTATGGTTTGTAAATAATATTATTCTGAGTAAGAAAAAAGTATTTATCGATTTGGCAGATAATTTAAACATTGTGAAGCTGCATAGCAATAGTAATACATTTATTATTTATAATTAATGTTAGTTTTTTCATGGGGGCATTAGCCATACAGAAAAAATAGCAAACCTATGTTAAAATTGAGTATGAGGAATCATAAAGGATATTATAAAGATATCAAACATCAATCAAAATTTTTTTCACTAAAAAATGGAAATATAAACCAAAACAATACATTAAATAAAGTAAGTGAAAGTTTGAACGATAGCTGGTAAGCTAAAAACAAAATGATTAGTCACTATTTGATTCAGAATTTGTTATTTGTGTTTTTTAATATTTAATACATTTTATTCTTTAATAATATTATATGACATATTATTAGAAAAATTGAAAATATTTTCTAATTATTAATGTAGGTATAATTTATTAAAACTTAAAATAATATAAATACAACCTAACTATATACATATTGACTAATATTTCCAAAAGCAGAGCTCATATTTAAAAAAAATTAAAACATTTTTAAGATTATAGTGATTATACAAATAATTTTTTCAACTTACAGGATCCAAGGCCCTGAATATGAATATATTTTTAACACTAGCTGCAAGTGCTTGGCGTTGATCATCAGATTTAGGAAATACAACCTAAACAATATATATATATTAACATACTGAATTAAGCAGGCAAACTTTAATTAAAATATACATTTGGTCCCTCTTCTTCTTCATCTTCTTCTGGATTATATGTTTCTGCAAAAACTGACTTACGTCTAGAATTATAACGTGTTGGTGGAGCTTCTACATGAAAAAAGAAAAGAAAATTAAACGTTAGTCTACTTTAATTAAAATATAATATAATATGTAAGCATGGTAATTAATAAGTGAAATAACTCAAAAAATGATTACTGATATTTAACGACCAAGGTCCTAAAAAAGAGTCATTAGGTTTGAATTTCAGTTTAAAATATGACATTTTTAAACATTTTGTAGTTTCAACAAAATTATCTTCAACTTGAAATATATACTGATCATTTTGAGCATTAATTAAGTTATAGCAACCTTTTTTGTTTAATCTAAATATCTTCATACAACTCATGATGAAAACTTATAATTGAATGATACAAATGAGAAAAAAGTATAAAAATTAATTACAATGCACATCTAAATGCGAGCTAACTGGCATGTGTTGAGAGAATGGGTAATTTATGTATAAATGAAAATCATGTTGTTTTAATGATGAATTTTATTACTTATTGTGTAACAATATCTACTGAAATTTTCAATACAAATKYAATAAGAAAATGTATAAATATAAATATTGTATTTACTATTTAATAAATAAACAAATATTATTGAAATTAATATTAAACCTTGGGTATATTCAATGGGTTGATTCATAATCAGAATTACATATTTKAATACTCATAGAAAAAATAAGCAGTGTACAGAATGATTTACCAACCATGCTCATTGCTCAGCCCCCGTTTGTTTTCCTTTAAAAATGCATTTAATTAAATTCATTTTGTTTATACTTATCAAAGACCATATTTCAAATTTTCAAATTCTTGAATTTTGTTATAATACTTAAGGAGTGTCCTGTGGCGATATAAATTTTTGTTTATCATATGAGAACCTCCTTATTGACAGTAAATTATTTAGTGGATAATTTGTTTGAAAATTTTAATTATAATTCAAAATTCAAATGAGTAGTTTCTTGGTTATTAAAATGTTTATATAAAGAATAATAATCGTTAAAAGTGGTTTTACAAAAATATATAAAAGATGTAAATATAATCTAAAATGATAAAATTTAATCTAGTATTTACTACATTCGAGCCATTTTTATWAATGGTTTATAATGATAGATTAATATTATGCRAAYTACTGTAGCCCTCATATCTTTTAAACTCATTACCCATGGACCTCTTATCCTTATACACAGAATTTCAATAACTCAGAAAAACTACTTGTACAAATTTTGATTATGGTACCTCAGTATTTTCAGAAATATTAACCACTAGGTATATAATTTACAGTTGAAAAGGGGTGTTCTTATTAGAAAAATAGAAATTTGTATATTTACAAAAGATTCCTTAGGTAGTACAAAAAATCTCAAAAATTTGAAGACATGACCTTAAAGTATTACTCAAAATTCCAAAAATCAAATATTTAAGAAATAAAATGGGGTTATCATCCTGTATACCAATCAATAGGTACAATCAATATGTTTTAATAAAGAATTTATAATCCTTTATAACTTGTGCTACAAATTTATTACAAGTTGAAAAACATGAATTCTGTTCTCATAAACTATGTAGGTATATTTTATAATTTGTTTAAGAAATAAAAACCACACCTACCACAAAAGATTATCAAGGTGATTCTTCAAAATAAAGGTATTTTAATATACCTAGATCTAAATTATTTATGATTGATTAAAAAAATTGTGTTTAAATAGTACCTGCCGTCTAGTCTGTTTCATTACATACCTAATTGTTTAAAGATAGTAGGTTCAGTTCAAATGAGTTGTTTAATTTTTTTATTACCTGTTCAGTATCTATACTTATACAGTTTATTGGTTATCTTATCAAGTAAAAAAAAAAAAAACTGTAAAAATGAAACCGGAAATAACATACCTATGTCTGAAGCGTCATCTTCGTCGCTAAAATCTCCAGCAGACTGCTGCTTTATACTGGAGGACGACTTTGTGTTCTTAAGTTTTTCAAAGAACTCTATGCCATAGTCAATGAGATTGTTGGGCTGCTCGAGCAAGTACCCAATCGTGAAATCGAGCAGCAACTCCCTCAACTCATCAGGCACGTTGAGCCTAGCGGCGTTATCGCTGTTAGTACTCATCTTCGTTCGTTCCTGCAAAAACACAATGCAGTCAGATAACGGTCACTCGATGGCCGAGACGTTTGGTCGATTAATGAGTAGTATTAAATTCTACACCGACGGTCCCAAAAAATCAACAAAAGTTTAGTTATAGGCAGTGTCCTGAACAAAGCACACAAATAAAGTCTTGTGACGAGCCGCGAGCATTCGCCGTGTCCTTGACTGTGCATAATATTATTATTGTAATAGCGATAATATATTTTTTTAATACAACCTAAATAATAATGATTAGGTATGTCAGATAATCAGCGTCGGAACACGACGTCGCCKCGTCGGCCTTCGACACCTGCCTACGACATAATATGGGTACTCAGTACTCACCGGGACACGATGTGACAACGATATCGTTGGTCGGTCGGTCGGTCGGTTCGACGAATTGTTAGTCGGGACGGCCGTTCGGCGTTGGCGGAGACAGCGAGTATGCGATCGGCGGGCCCCGCAGCTACAATAATAATATTACGAGTACGACACTAACAGCACACGGAAGATAACGCGCGCGCACACACGCACACGCACTACACCAAATACACGCACACGGGCGCACATACACACGCACTCGTCACTCACACACGCACTGTGCGGCGGTCGGGCGGCGCGAGCTATCAGTGACGGCCGAGATCCGCGCGATCGTGCGAAAACAGACGGCGGCGTTCGTCTTGATCGTGAATCATCGCGCGGCGCGCTCGAGTCGTCGTCGTCGTGTGATGTGGGCYGCGGACTACGTTGTAATATGCAACTGCCGCCGATATTAAAATAATAATGTTATGTTATTTTAATATGTAAATTAATATTATTGTATTATTTATTTTGATAATATCGATATTCTCATATTTTATTCCAATGCAGTGGCGGCAGAGGACTCGGTGACGGACGTCGGACACCGTCACACCGATGTCCTATTATCAAGCCGACGTTGTGAGCAGCGCTCCGCCGTCCGCAAGTCGCTACGTTGCCGAGCAACTACTCACCGCCAGCAGTGGTCGACTGAAGCGCTGCCCGGCGGCCGAGACCCGTGCGCGTATTTACATTTTACACTCACCGCGACTCCCACGTCCTGATTGATTGGAACATATTATTATTTATATCATTGTTATTAATACTATATTATTAAATATTAATAAATTATTCTATTATCATTACTGTAATTTGTAATATAGGTAGGTATCTCGTGTAATAATAATATTATAATATGATTCAGTAGGTACACTGCTGGTATTTTAGTATTTTTTATACTCCACATCATAATCGCCCCCTACCTGACAGCAACAGCTTAATAATAATAAATAATAATAATTTAATACGTCTTATAAAATATGATATTGACGGTATTGTGTTACCCATCATATAGTATTAATTACCGTACTGTGTTATATTAATTTCGCTAATTGCCAATTGTTAGTATGTTTTATAAAAGTTGTCGGGGACGTATATTATACCTAAGGAGTAAGGACACAAAGTTAAACGCGTACACATTAGTAACATTAGTTGAATAATGAGTATTCAGTATACGCGATCGTCAAAAACCAACGAGGTCACGATTCGGCATTATACTTACCTACTTGTACTATCTTATGCATTATATAATTTAGTTATCATAAGCTTTACAATGATAATTTTACGTATGTAAATCGTGCATAATTTCTTAGAATCGGCGTTATTATTTATTTATTACACAATGATTACATATTATATTATACGATTATAAGCGAGGTAATTTTTTTACTGTCGTCGTACCGATATGCTATTATATTTATAGCCATATAGGTACAAATCCAGTGGCACCGAACCTTTCTTGATCGAATTGGTGGATGAGTTGGTGTCTTGATGGTAAGTGTTATGGTTAGCGCCTTAACGGTAGTGTATTGCATTGGATAGCTTAATAGTAAATATATAGGTATCACCTATAGAAGATAAGAGCATAGGCGTGCGCAGAGGGTATATGCCTGTATGCAGAATATGCAGTTGCATATATTGAAGCTCTTGAGGGGTGAAAATCGATACTAGAAAAAACATTTTTTGCGTAAAAAAAATAATTAGTACGTATATTAAAATATTTATAACTATAACAAATAATTAAAAATGAGAGAAATTATATCAGACTATAACGGCAGTGATGACAACGTTCGTTTCACGTTTCACGTATAAAATCATAATAATGTGATTGCTATGCTAATACCACCGCCCGAGTATAAACATACCAATGGGCTATGGCCGGGTGTTATTAGCAAATTGAAACATCCAATTATAAGTTATTAACTACCAAGTATTTTCGAAATACATATTTGTATTATGTCATGTTATTTGTTACAATATTTTTTTAATCAAACAGTAAAACTTTTCAATATTTGTGTATTGTGTAGGTATATAAAACATCAGAATTTTATATGCTTAAAATAACTTTTGGGGCACGCCAGTGGCAACCTTTTGCATAACCTAAAAAAAGACCGGCGCACGCTTATGGTTAAGAGTAAGACATCTCCATTCTCCAATCAATACAATTTTTCGGGAGAGGCATATAAAATGTTTTAAAAATTAACAAAAAAATATATTTAGATCCCACTTTGATTCGTACCTATAATTTATAAGCAATAGTCACTGAAAAATTGTCAAAATCAAGTTATTTGTATAATTTCTAAACTAAAAAATAAAACTTGGACCCCCCCCCCCAAATGTTTTTAAAAGTCAAATACTCAAATTAAAGACCTTTTTGTTTTTTAATTAATTTTTTTATATGAATAAAACCCTCCCGAAAATAAATCATAATATTGCACTATAAGTATAGTAACGAAAGGAGTATTTTTAAAGATTATTCGGAAATGTCTTTTTCCACTAAAATAAAAACCAGAAGTCTCCATTAATATGACATTTCAGTACCTATCCAGAAGCGTCGTTTGGAGTAAAACCATGGGACCTCAAAAAAACACCCTGAAATTTGAATAACACTTTTAATTTAATTGCATCAGGTTTAATGAAGCCTGATTGCTCATCAGTGGATAAAATAATAAAATTGTTAAGGTAGGTATTAATATAGTAGCTWCCTAATAATCTACTTATACTATCTATACTTGCAGGATGGATGGGTGGACAAACTTTTTTTGATTAAGATCTACCGAGAAAATATTTTCGATTATTTTAGATTTTGAGCGGGGCGATGAATGTATTGATTTTA